AAAAAAAAAAAAAAAAGAGTAGCTGTTGGGGCTGCTTGAGTACAACCAAACACCTCATGGGATTTGGTTTCATGGTTTGGAGGTTTAGAGTCATGGTTTCATGGGACATCCCAGTTTAACTGGCCTATTAACATGGTGCTCCTGTTTTACCTCCTAGTTCATATTAGAAGCTTACAAGCAGCCATCCAAGGCACAACAATTAATCTCTATTCATCTGACAACAAAGGAAGGGGAGTCAGGAACAGGAAGAAGATATGGAATGTGTGGCTAATTGCCTCCATGAACAACTGCTTCCTTTGTCATGTGACCAGAAGAACTGGATGGTGCCTGGCTACCATTACTGAACATTTTGATTAAAGATTCTATAGAAGAATCCTGATCAAAAGGTGGGTAATGCAGAACAGAATTTCAAATTCTCATGGACTCTGGGCTTTCTGGAACCATGGAGGGTGGATGAATCCCTGAAACGACTTACTGCCCTGAGATAATCTTTAAACCTTAAACCAAAAATATCCCCTGAAGTCATCTTAAACTGAACTATAGTTCTGCTTAACTGGTTAAAAAAAGAAAAAGTCTTCCTTGAGTATTATGCTCTTTTAAGAACTATCTGTATGTGATCAAACTGACAACAGCAACTGGAAATATTAGATAGGAACCTTAGGGAGCAATGATTATGTTAATGAGAGAAGAACAACTCAGAAAAGGAGAATGTTTGCACAACTTGAAAAATGTAATCAACGTCACTGAATTGTACATGTAGCAACTTGAATTGCTGTTATGTTCTGCTGTGTATATTTTTAGCAACAATAAATAAAATCTAGGAAAAAAACGAAAACAAAAAACATGAAAATTATTTTAGAGTAGAATGCAAAAAATAATTTTTCAGATAAAAACATGAACTTCAGAATTCTGGCCTTATCCCAAGGTAGACTGCTTCTGGTTGCCCCATAAATGGGAGGCGGGGGGGGCGGGGGGGGGAGACTTTGTGAAACACTGCCTGACAAATGTAAATGACTAGTAACAGCTCTAAAGTATTATTATGCAAGCATTGTCTTAAACAACAAGGATACCATTTACAGACACGAAGGCAACAATTTGGCTAATATGGGAACACTCCAAGTCCCTCAAAATGACCCACTTAGAAACAGAACAACCAAAACAGAAATAAGAATGTTCACGCATTGTGAAGAATGTAACCAATGTCACTGAACAACGTGTGTATAAATTGTTGAATGTGAACCTAAACTGCTGTGTGAACCTTCACCAAAAACACAATAAAATATTATTTAAAAAGGAAAAAAAAAAAAAAAGACTCACTTAGGCAGTGGTCTTCTGTAGCCTTTAGGGAAAAATCTGAGTATACTTAAAACAAAGCCAGAATACTGCTGTAACAGTACAGTGGAAATCTGTAGTAGCATCTCCCCCGAGGCAACTGAAAAACAGCCAACTCCAGCCATGTCACATTTTATGTTGTTAGTTGCTGTCTAGTTGATTCTGACTCATGGTGACCCCATGTGGGCTGTGATCTTTTGGAAGCATATCGCCAGGCCTGCCTTCTGAGGCATCTCTGGGTGGGTCTGAACCACCAAGCTTCGGCTAGTAGTGGAGCGCTTAACCTTCTGTACCACCCAGGGACTCCTGCCATATTTTATATGCATCAGAAAAGATTCCCCAAAAAGAAACTGAGTCAACTCACCAGAGTGGGTCTGCATGAGACACACTGATGACAAATGCCTCGCTTGTCTGTCCAGAAAGAGTCCGCCCACTTTTATCAACAATTGTCCCTGAAATCTAAATTAACAAAGTAAACCATGTCAACAATATAAAGTCAAGTTAAGAATATAGTCACAAAGACAACATAAGTGAGCAAGCTGACTTTCTTTGTTCTCTGACAAGGATGAGAACTATGAAACTCAAAAGTCAAAGGCAGCACTTTTTATAATGGTCAGGATGAATCAAACCGATTGCTGTCAGGTCTATTCTGACTCATTAGCCACTCTATAGGGCACGGCAGAATGGCCCCATAGGGTTTCCAAGGCTGTAATCTTTATGGAAGCAGGCTGCCACAACTCTCCTGCAGCCAAGCACTTAACCACTGTGCCAACAGGGCTCCTTATGGTCATGACACCCATTGCCGTCAAGTTGATTCTGACTCATAGCGACCTTATAGGCCAGAGTAGAACTGCCCCATATGGTTTCCAAGGAGCGGCCGGTAGATCCGAACTGCTAGCTTTTTGGTTATCAGCCAAACTCTTAACCACTGGGCCACCATGGTCATGACAGACATATGCAAAGTCACCTGGGGTAGGAGGGTTGGCAAGGCATAAATACAGAGAACAGGGCAAGTCACTGAGGCAAAAGCAATGAACAAACACAGTTTAGAATTCACACATCCAATCCCACTGCAGAAGGCTTTCCCAGACACCTCAGGTTATCCTGGCCTCCTGCTATTAAACATCCAGTTCATCTAACACCCTTGTTTTGATTCCATTCTATTCTTACTAAGCAATCTTAGGACTTTTATCTACTTCCGTAAAGATTACAGCCTGTGAAACCCTATGGGGCAGTTCTACTCTGTCCTCTACGGTCACTATAAGTTGGAATCGGCACCCAACAACAACTGACTTAATAAACTGGCAGTCTGGTGTCTTCTTCAGTGTTGGATAACTTGCAGTCAGCACGTAAGTCCATCTCTCCTTGGGCCCTAATGAGAACAAGTGGCTTCAGTGGACCAAATCCAGCCAGGCTTCTTTTTAACAACCTACTTTACATCAACTACTTCTAGGTTCATTTTCTTGACATTTCCAGAGATTACACTGCTATTGGTCTAGAATTGTTGGTGAGGGGGGTGAACAGAGGAAGTTAGAGTAGGTGACCCCTGGAAGATACTATTAGTAGTTTTACCATGCGATCTCGATGCCGTTGAGTCGATTCTGATTCATAGTGACCCTACAGGAAAGAGTAGAACTGCCCCATAGGGTATCCAGGGAGTGGCTGGTGGATTCGAACTGCCCACCTTTTGGTTAGCAGCTGAGTTACTGTGCAAGGGGGGGAAAAAACCTTCAAAATGACAATATTAATAAAGAATAAAACTCATTTTTTGAAAAGTAAACATTTTAGAACTTACAAAGATAGGCCGGGGAGCATATTTCTCTTCAAAGAGTGTCTGCAGTGCAAATAAGGCTGCCTGTCAGGAAAAAAAGAAAAACACCTTGATTTCTAAGAGATTGTGTCCAAGGTCATTTCAACTGCCTGATCAGAATGTTCCATTTTCCAAGACCTCTTCAGAGAAGATACACATCAAGCTTTCAGTACATTCTCTATAATGGACAACCTCAGCATCCCTTTCTCAAGTGGAACACTATATTAAAACAAAACAGGTATTGACGAAAGTTCATCTATGTACTAATATTTTCTCTTTGGAGGAGCTGAAGATCGATTCTTTCTTTCTTCTCTCAATTAAAATAAGTAAGAGTGTCCAGGTCTTCCACATCCATACACATACATGGTAGGTATAAGAACCAACAGTGTTGTGTCAATGCAAAAAAAAGCGTGAGCTTAGACTGGGTTGTACAGATATGAATCCATGTCACTCTGGGCTTCTCAGTCCATGTTTTATTAAGTTCCAGGCAACACATCTTCTCTTTCCTTTTGTCATTGTATTTCTTGATTCCAAAATGTACATATTTTCACAATTTTATGAAATCAGAATGCAACCTGTAATTAATGTGTAATTATGATAATCATTGCAATGGTGGATTTTTTTCCTTGGGAAGTGACAAAGTCATCAGTTCCAGACTTTAGTTTTTTAGAACTAGACAAATTTATTCTAAAAATGTCATGGAAAATAAACATGTAAGAATAGCCAGGAAAGTTCTGGAAAATAAAAAGGCAGAGAAGGAACTAATGAAAAGGAACTAAGCCTACTAGCTACTCAGACATATTATAATGCTACAGTAAATAACATTAGGGTACTCATGAATTTAGCATAAGGGTGACATTCCATATCATTTAGTATAAGGGTGACATTCCCATCAATGGAAAATAATAGAAAGCTTAATAGATGTTGTTAGGAGAACTAAGTAACCTTAGAGAAAAAAACAGTTAGAGCTCTACCTCATTCCTCACTCCAAAATAAATTCCTGATGCATCATGAGAGAAACTAGCCCTTATATAATCAAAGGAACCTTATGTCACACATGATAAAACTTAAAAACTCAACTTACAAAACATGTCTTAATGCTTTATCCCTTACTGTTATGCCCCCACTGTTCCTAATCTAAACAATGCTGTGACTGTTTTTAAATGCATATCTGAGTCTCATTTCAGACATTTTTCTTATCTTAAGACGTTTATGGTATGGAAACCCTGCTGGCATAGTGGTTAAGAGCTACAGCTGCTAACCAAAAGGTCAGCAGTTGGAATCCACCAGGCGTTCCTTAAAAACCCTATGAGGCAGTTCTACTCTGTCCTGCACGGTTGCTGTGAGTCAGATCGACTCGACGGCAATGAGTTTGGTTTGGTTTTGGTTGGTTTATGATATTTCTCTTATTTTCAAAATATGTATCTTGATTGCTTTTCAAATTATAATTTGTTTGCCAGAGATTCACAAAACAATTTCTGGAAAGGTGTATGAAAGAGAACCACAGAACTGAAGGGTTAAGGATGAAGTGAGGTAGTCGTCTAGCTTCTAGCTGATACCACCTCCTTCCTTCTTCCTCATGCAAATATTCTTAGTAAATCATAAAAAAAAAAAGTTTCAAATATTCTGAGTCTGTTGTCTAATTTCTTTTAACAATTAAAGATTTGATGAACCTATAAAAGCACTAGGAGCCTGGCAGCGAAATGGTTAAGCGCTCTGCTGCTAACCGCAAGGTTGGCGTTTGGAACCCCCCAGCTGCTCCACGGGAGGAAGATGTCGCAATCAACTTCCATAAAGATTTACAGCCTTGGAAATCCTAGGGAGCAGTTCTTCTCTGTCCTATAGGGTAAATGTCCCTGAGTCTGAATCAACTCAATGGCAATGGTTTTGTTTGGTTTGGTTTTATAAAGGTACTAGGTAAAAGAAGGGCCGTTTTTCCTCCGTATCTTGGAATTAAAAAAAAAACCAACCTGTTGCTATAGTCAATCCCGACTCATAGCGACCTTGTAGGACAGAGTAGAACTGCACCATGGGGTTTCCCAGGAGTGGCTGGTGGATTCAAACTGCCGAATTTTTGGCTAGCAGCTGAGCTCTTAACCATTGCACCACCAGGGCTCCTATCTTGGAATAGGACACTTCTAAGTATAATCCCTATCAAATCCCCCCACAAAAAAACCAGAATCCATAAATTCAACCATATAATAAAATTAATATTTTCCTGCACCATTATAAAACAAAAACAAATACACAAAAAGCACCACAATAATATCACTACCGCCATCACAAATAAAGTGAAAAGGCAAACAACAAATCTGAGGACAGTATTTGCTACTCGTCACTGACCCCGGTCTGATTTCCTGAGTAAGGACTCAATAAAAAAAGACAAAAATCTAATAGAAAATAAGGCATAGGACACAGATCAGAGAGAAGGAAATATAAATGGCTCTAAAACTAAAGGATGATGCTGAAATTTCATTTGTAGTAAAAAAAAAAAAAAAAAAATTTAATTAAAACTGCAGTGAGACATCAGTTTTTATTTTTCCCTTTGGAAAAGATCAAAAAGTTTAATAATACATGGTGTTAGAGAGGGTGCGCAGAAACCAGCACTACTGTACACTGCTTGCTGACGGGAGTGTAAATTAGTACAATCTCCAAGGAGGGTAATTTGACACTAAAGATCAAAATTAACAATGCATATACCCTTTGAATCAGCAATTTCACTTGTAGAAATTTATCCCATAGAAATACTTTGCAACAAAATATGTATGAGGATATTTTCTGTATCACTGTTGGTTAAAATAAGAGATTGGAAACAACAGAGGATGGACTCAATAAATTATGGTACATTCATATAATGGAATACTATGCCCCCACGAAACTATGAAGCAATTCTACACATATTAGTGCAAAGTGGATTGAATAATCCAATAAAATGGAAGAGATTTTCACACAGGATAAAAAAACAAGATCCAACTCTATTCAGTCTATAGGAGACACACTTTAGGTTCAAAGATACATAAAGGTTGAAAGAAAAAGGATAGAAAAAGAAAGAGAATGCAAACAGTACAGCAACCACAAGAGAGCTGGAGTGGTTATACTAATATCAGACAAAACAGACTTTAAGACAAAAAATGTTACTAAAGAGGGACATTTTATAAAGACACATATACTAGAGTGTAGAGTAGGTTATGTTTAAAATAGTGAAGGAAAGGAATCCATACATCCATACGTTCTTACATCTGCATAGAATCTCTGTCAGGACCCACAAACTGGGAATAGCGGTTGCGCTGGGAGGAGAGCTGGATACCCAGAAATAAGAGAGGGAAGGAGATCTACTTTTCACTGCATGTATTTATGTACCTTTTGAATTCAGGAGCATGTGCACGTGTTTATTACCTACACATATATACACGCTATTAGGTTGTTAGCTACCACCAAGTCAGCCCCCAACTCACGGCGGCGCCCTATACAACAGAATAAAACTCTGCCCAATCCTGTGCCATCTCCATGATAGGTTGGGGATCGGACCGCTGTGATCCATAGGTTTTCACTGGCTGATTTTCAGAAGTAGAATGCCAGTTCTTTCTTCCTAGTACATCTTAGTCTGGAAGCTCTGCTGAAACCTGTTCAGCATCTTAGCAACACACAAGCCTCCACTAACAGACAGGCAGTGGCTGCACATGACGTGCATGGGCCAGGAATTGAACCCAGGTCTCCCATATGGAAGGCGAGAATTCTACCACTGAACCACCTCTGCCGCTTAGACACATATAGAACTATATATGAAAATATTTATTTTCATAATTAGAAAGTATATTTTTTAAAAGCTAAAAAGATAGCTTTTTTGAAGTTTTCTTATTCTACCAGCCTCAGTTTAAAATATTCAAGACTAAAACGAAATGAAATAAATTTAACGTTGTTAAATTTATTTAACTTTGTTAACGGCTTTATTGTCTTCTCAATACATTAGGGGACTCATCACAGCCCCCACCTGAGCCCTGTCCATTCTTCTCCTTAACTCACCTTGGCATTGGCAGTATCAAAAATAGTTTCAATTAGTAAGATATCAACCCCGCCATCTAGAAGTCCTTTGGCCTGCTCTTGGTATGCTTCAACAAGCTCATCAAATGCTGCAAAAAATAAATCATACGCAGAACATCAGTCATCAGTATTCTCTGAACGGTCCCAGGGCATGCTAAGTTCAGGTCTGGCACCTGTGAACTAACTATTGCTGGTTTCAAATGCATAGTTTAAGGACAACTCTACTGTTGTGGATTGAATTGTGTCCCCCAAAAAGATATGTTAAAGTCCTAATCCCTGTACTGACTATGACCCTGTTTGGAAATACAGTTTTTTTTATTATGTTCATGAGGTCATAAGGAATAGGGTGGATCCTAAACCTAATCCCTTCTGAGTGGCGTCTTATAAAAAGGAAAACAGACAGGAAGAGTCAAACACGGGGAAGATACCATGTGAAGACCTATCTAGGAGCCAAGGAATGCTAAGAAATGCCCAGGGCTACAGAAACAAAGAGACAAGGATCTTCCCCTAGAGGCTACAGAGAGAGAACATGACCCTACTGACAACCTGAATTTGGACTTCTTGCCTCCAAAACTGTGAGACAATAAACCCGTTTTTTAAAGGCACCCACTTTGTGGTATTTTTGTTACAGCAGCACTAAGTAACTAAGACACCTACCTTTTGCAAGAAACCAAATCAAGAAACATGGCCATGATGGAGGTAAACAAGTAAACTGAACACAAGTTATTCTAAACACTTGTCACATAACCGCCACTTCCTTTCCATGTGTGAGCTGAGTATGAGCGAGTGCGTGGGAAAGTTTATGAATTTCTTGGACCCTGTACCTTACCTTCAACATCCTTAAAATACATAATTCTTTCCACAGATTGTTTTAATCAACCAATTAAGAAATGTGTCAAACTGACTTAGGTGCATCACAGGTCAGTCACACCCTCAACTCTCTGTGGTGAACCTGTAGCAGGATTTTGCTCCTGCCCTGTTACACCAACTCCGTCAGAGAATGGACCTGTTTGATGGGTAATTTCAGTCTCAAACAAAAGTATTCGTCACTCCTGGCTAAAGTTATTGTTTGAAACTTCTTGGTCTGTCTGTTTCCTCCCGAGAGGGCATTCCCCTCCCCATTGTATCCTCACCACCCCCTCAAAAAAAAGGAAAAAGAAAAAAACCTCATATATTCAACAGAGAAGCAAAAACAGTAAATTTATGCTCACTGTGTAAATGTATTTCATCTTACACAACACAAGAGAAAGGAAAAGTTAGCTCCCCAGTGTCGAGTACACCAGAGACAGCACTGACCACACATAGGCCAGGGGTAAGCCAGTCCTGGTGAAAAAAGCGTGGTATCACTGCATGGAAAGTTCTGTAATCAAAACACCTACAAACTGTTACTTGCCTGAACTCGTCATCCACACAATAGTCATCACCTATGTAGTACCATAACTATTAAGCTCTGACAGTTTAATTCTTTTTGTTTTTTACAGCCTTGATGCTTAAGTAATTTGCCTAGATTCCTGTATTTCTAGTAATTTGCATCTCAAACTCTGCTACTATGTTTATATAGCTTCCACTGCTTTCTAATAAACTAAATGTGGACATAATAGGCTATTCTATAATAGGCCAAGTCCTGGGATCCACATTGCTCAACCTAACAATTTAAAATTTTGTTTTGATTGGTTTTAATTCCACAGCTGATAAAGAATCATTAGCATAACACTATGTACATGTGAAAGCAAACTCTAGTAATGACTGTCTTTTTATTTTGGTTAAGAGATCGGCTGCTAACCAAAAGGTGGGCAGTTCAAATTCACCAGTCCCTCCCTGGAAACCCTACAGGAGCAGTTCTACTCTGTCCTATAGGGTTGCTATGAGTTGGAATCAACTTGACAGCAATGTTTGTTTTGTTTTGTATTGTTAGCACTTTATGTGGATTAACTCACAATAACCCTGAGGTAGATCCTATTACTATTTCCATTTTCTAGATGAGAAAACTGGAGGACAGAGGTACTTGCCCAAGTCAATTATTATATATGATAAATACTCACTGATGTTTCTGTAATCTGGTCTTTCCACAGATGGGGACACAGACAGTGTCTTATTGGTTGGACCCAGAGCTCCTGCCACAAACCTCTTAACTCCTTTGAGAAAAGAAAAAGAAGTATGAAATTTTGAAATCATTCAACCTTTTTGCTGTAAATCAATAGCCTGTAAGATTTTTCCTAGAACACAGGTCTACAATCCCACATCCACAACTCTGAAATCCAAAAAGCTTAGAGCCTAATTTTTTTTTGTTAATTTATTGGCAACAAAATGCAACCTTTCCTGAACTTACAGGAGGCCACTTAGAGTCTTTATCCCACTAAGTGAAATAATACACAGATTTTGCCACAAAAAATATGTTTGATCATGCGGGCTGTCCCAGATCCCACTGGGAAAAATTACATACTACAGAGGATACGCACATATTTGTCACCAAGCCAATCCAAAAACTGAACTCCCACACATCTTGACTCAAGCATTTTAGTAAGTAATCCTTTTTTATCATCACAGCTATTTTTGGACAAAGTATTTCTCTACCTATTTTTAGGAAACCTTGAACATTCTGAACTTAGCACAGGTTCTGCAAAACCTCCTTACAACAGCATAAAGCTTGAAAGGTTCCCTAGTGTTGTACTGCAGACCCTTCACTGAACAGAAATATTAAATCAAGACTAATCATTGTAAAGCCCGAAACTGAAGTATGAAGCAGATCAAATAACCACCTCTTATAACTGTTTTGTAGAAAGTGACTATGAGGTATGGAACTGCTTTGCAGCAAACAACTTGGCCTTTGGTCCTGGTTCCTGAGAGCTGGACCACGTCTGAGGCCAATAAGTGGGGGCTGACCAGACCAAGACGGACCACCTGGGAGCCTGATGCTGACTAAGCCTCAGGGAGTCCAAAAAAGGCCTTGGAAGATGGAAGCTCCAAAAGCTTCCAGGTTGTGGGGAGCAAACATCTGATCTCAGCAAGTAAGCCTGTGCCCAGATCCTTGCCTGAATTCCCCTTTGTGTTTGTATCTTTTTTCCTTCTAGATTAAAGAAAGCTCCTTCCCTGCAGTTTGTGAGTCGTTTCAATGGATAATAGGACCTAAGAAACAGAGAAGGGGCCGGTACCCACTAACCTAGCCCACTGACCTAGTCCCAGGTAAGTGGGGATGAAAGCGTAATGGCTGCATGGGCAGCTGTGGTCTGAACTGACCCTGGGGTCGGCCTGGTTTGACATCACAGTGACAATAACCTTTCCTCTAGGTTAAAGTCTAGGGGCTTCTAAAACTGCCTGAGAAGTTGTCTTTATTTTACGTACCTTAACAAAAGCCAGGGATTATACTGCTCATTATCTTTGGTAATTTTAACCACCCAATAGTCTGGGCTATGCTTTACAATTTACTGGAGAAGACTACTGACTAGTTAACAATGTAGCCTTTGGACAGGTTACAAGTCCAAATACTCTTTTGGTTCCCCAAAGCTGAGCAGTAATGTGAGTATAAGAAAAATGTCTTTACCTTTTCCTGCTTTAGCGGTTCAATGGCCTCCGACCTATGACTCTGTTTGGGTAATACTCTATGCATTTCCATGGATTTAAACATTATCTCTCAGAAACAGAGCTCTGTAAATTGCTCTGGTCTTCATTAGTATGCTATGTGTCAAGCTTCCTAACATTTTGCTTTACATCTTTCCTGTTCGTAGTAATTTCACATTTCCAAATCTTAGGGGGCTGTCTATATTTCTTCTATTCCTTTCACTCCCTCAAAGCCTCCCCACCAGCTGGTGTCCAAGTGTTCTTATGGAAGCCAGCCAGGAGGTTAGTTATTTTCAGGCAGTCCCAGCAATACTGAATCTAATGTCACTTTTTTGGGTGCTGCACAGAGCCTTCAAGGACATCAGTGGTATAAAGTAGTAAATGTTCAAACGGCAAGATCACTTTACCTAAATAAGTCGATCATAGCGCAGAGGGTGGCTTTAACAGGACTGTATGAAATAGCCTAATGATAACCAAAAACAACAAAGACACTCAGCTGCTATCTTAATAACCTGATGATGTGCTTCCAAAGAAGGTAAACCCAGTTTAGCTCTAAATATACAAGGAAGCCATAGTCCCTGATACGAAGTTAAGCTATAACCTTCAGCAGGGTAAACACAGAGTAGACTCTGAGCCCAAGGCTCACAGGAATAGAAATAGTTCAGAAAGCGGGTGGCTGCTTGATTACGAAACTGCAGAGAAGGTACCAACAAACAAGAACAATACAGTGTCTGCAGTGTTGCTGGTGATAGGACAACTGTCGTGAAAGGAAGGGCTGCAGTAAGGACAGCACATTATGGCTGAGAAAGCCAAAGGAATCATCTGTGCACAAAAGGGAGAAGCGTGTTCCTTACCTGTGTGGAAAGTCACCTCCTCGGCAGCTTTTTTGGCCAGTGCTGCAGAGCACTTGTTCATCCGATAGGCCTAGCACAGCAAGAACACACGTTATCTTGTCCTCCTTCTCCTCCATACAATAAGTAAGAAATTTATGACCATCTAACACACAGTGTTGTTGAGTAAGGAAACGCAGAGTGAATTAATTTGAGGTCTGCATGAAATCTTAGCTGCGAAGGCATATCGGCTGTCCCAGCCTTGAAAGCCAACAGGGAACTGCTTTTAGGTTCTTCCTCAAAACCAAGAGCTGGCTGGTAAAAAGGGCAATCTCTGGACATCTCGCATGTCTGACAATAAGTGGATGTAGTTAAATGTTCTGAGAATTAGAAGAAACTGTAGTAATGAAAAAAGCCTAGGCTTTAGAGGCAGGAGAGGAGGCTCCAGAACTAGTGCTGTCCCTGCCTAACCGTGAAACCTGGGGCAGTCCCTCTAGCAACTGCTCCAGCCTCAATTTCCTCCACTGTACAATGGTCGGAATCAGTGGTTTTTAACTTTTTATGGAATATTAACCTCCTGAGAATCTGATAAAGGGCCACGGACCCTCTCAGTGGGAAATAAAAACAAGTACACACATACACACAAAGTGTTGTCTACAACTTAAGGAGACTGATGGACCTCCTGAGGCCCTTCCACAGACCAGGTTAGGAAGTCCTGGAATAGGTAATCTTCATGATCCCTTCCAATTCTAAGATCCCACGACCCAGTAATTAAGAAACCAGAATATCCTAAAACCAGGTTTGGCAAATTACAGCATGAATCCTGTTTTTGTAAATAAAGTTTTATGAGAACACAGCCATGCCCATTCCTTTACATACTGGCTGTAGTTGCTTTTAAACTACAATGACAGAGGTGAGCAGTTAGGATAAAATAGTTAACTATCTGTTCCTTTACAAAAAAGTTTGTCAATTCCTGCCCTGACATAACACAAAAGTAACTATAACACAATTTTATTTTCCCTTGTTAACACAAAGGCACTTGGTCTCATGAAGTCCAATATCATGAGAAAAATCCAGTGTCGGAGCACTTGGGACCACCTGCATGGAAACAGAGGCAAGTGTCTGGAAGAGGAGCACACTGAAATGGGGACGTCAGGCTCTATCATGTATTTCCATCATTCACATCTTAAACAAAATTTGAATACGGAAGCATAGCGTTATATAAAAGGGAACCAAATCTACCACCAAATACTTTAAAAGGCCTCAGAGAACTGGGTGCACACAGTCAATGATTATGCCTTTAGCAACAGCCACTGCATAATAAGTACCATTTTTATTTGATTATTCCTTACCCATAAAAGAAGCCAATTGGCAAATGAATGGGCAAGGTATTTGTTTGATTATGCAGCTCCAGATTTTCTCACTGACCAAATGCAGCAAATGCTCATGAGCATCTTAGATAGGAGGCAAAATGGATTTCTTACCAAGTGTTCAAGGCCATAGTCAGCTTGGGCAACACTAGTGCTGCTAAAAGTATTTGTTTCAATGATATCTGCCCCAGCCTGCAAGTATTCCTGTAACAAGAGATAATGATGTCAATGCTCATGAGTTTTAGAGTCCCTGTCCGTCAACAGTACACTTTTTCATCATCACCACCAAACATCTTTTGATCATTTACTAAGTTTAAAAGACAGCACTAGAGGCTAGAGATACAAACACCAAAGAAAACTAAACCAGCTGCCATCGGGTCAATTCTGACTCATGATGACACCACGTGTTTCAGAGCAGAACTGTGCTCCACTGGGTTTTCAGTGGCTGTGACTTTTAGGAAGTATAACACCAGGACGTTCTTCCAAGGTGCTTCAGGGTGGATTTGAACCGCTAACCTTTTAGTTAGTAGCTGAGCGCTTAACCGTTTGCCCCACCCAGGGACTCCTAAGAGATGCAAAAAGGTAAGAGTTTCACGGAAAGGGATGTGGTGTAAATAAATAAGCACAAAACTTGAATTCGGGCTAAGTTCACACACTATCTCTAGGGTTGTGTGAGTATAGGCAAATTCCTTAAACTTGGAGTCTCAGTTTCCTCATCTGAAAGTACTGAAATCCTATTCCGGGGGTGGCTGTTTAATGATACAAGATAACATATCCAGTGTCTGGCAAGCGATGGGCACTTATCAAAAGTTAGTTCTGTTCCCTTCCCTACTCCCTGCTTCAGCACAATCTGACCCCCACTGGAACTGCACTCTCTCTGAGATCTCAAATTCTGAATGCCCTCTCTTACCACAGTTTTTTCAGTCTACACCTCCTAGTCCCTCGAAACCAGTTCTTCTTTTTTTTTTTTAAATTTTTTATTATACTTTAGATGAAGGTTTACAGAACAAATAGTTTCTCATTAAACAGTCAGCACACATATTGTTTTATGACATTGGTTAATAACCCAAGACAGGTCAACACTCTCCCTTCTCAACCTTGAGGACCTTTTTTTTTTGGTGAAAATATGCATAGCCAAAGTTACACCATTTTGAAAGTTTCTACATGTACAATTCAGTGACATTGATTACATTCTTCCAGTTGTGCTGCTATTCTCACTATCCTTTTCCAAATTATTCCATCACCATTATCAACTCAGTGTCCCCTAGGCTTCCCATTAACCTTTTAAGTTGCTATTATCAATTTGATCTCACAGATAATTCTTTTTTTTTTTCCTTTGTACCTTAGATGAAGGTTTGCAGAAAAATAGCTTCTCATTAAACAATTAGTACACATATTGCCCTATGACAATGGTTAACAAACCCATGACATGTCAACACTGTCCCTTCTCAACCTTGGGTTCCCTATCACCAGCTTTCCTGTCCCCTCCTGCCTTCTAGTCCTTGT